TGAGGTGTACCTAACTTTAACAACCTTTAATTTAAATTCTCGATGATCAAAGACATTTTTGTAAATGATCTTTGTCGACTCAGTTCCTGGTTAATCATGGACCAAATAGATTTTGACTTATTCTCAGCATTGCTTATTGTGTAAAATGTATGTTTTTCTCTTTGTCGATGTTTTTGTTCGCATATTTTTGTTAGTTCTTTTTTATTTTCGTGTATGTTTATATTTTTTGTAAATTTTCGTTTGAAAGTTGAGTTCTTTGGGTTCTTTTAATTGTCGTGTAAGTTGATTGCTTTGTTAAGTTTAATGAGTAGGTTTTTTGGTTTAGTTGTTGTTTTACTTCGTTTGCCGCTTTTATCGGTTTTCAGATTATAATGTATTTATAAGAATTGAGTAACTATAAAATTTCTATATAACTTCTATGATTACTAAAGTAAGCTATTTTGAAAATGTATCTCCGCCTTAACAATTATTAACCAATATCTTAAGGTAACCAAATGTTATGTAGCTCAACTTCTTCGGTTCTAGCGTACACGCAGTGGCTAAAAAAAATGTGTATAAATTTCGTTTTTTATTTCCATTCTATAAACAATGAAAAGATTGATATTCATATTTTGAGTGATACCATTAAAAAAACTATCCCTGGAACCTATCGAGAATCCTAATATACCATTTTTTTTAAATATCGGCGCATCAACACATCTTTCTCACGGCATTGCCGACTTTCGTGCTGCCCAAGAACATATAAATTAATCTGTGATATTTTCAAGGCCCGGTATTATTATGAACCATCAAAGCAATGATTTGATATTTCATTTATGTTTTATTAATTACAGCGAAACAAAATAGCATTTAGTGAATAACATGATTGTGACCTTTCACTCCGCTTACACGTGTACGACTTTTTGTTAATTTATTTTTATTTGCAAATGTTTTCCTATTTTTTCATAAATTACTAAGCTATTTTAATCACTAAATTTTACGTTTTTTTTTATAGTTTTACTTTAAGTTATGGTAAGAAATGCTTTTTTTATATCAATTTTTTTCTAATCTAAATTTTTAATAAATGATAGCATATAAATGAAAAAAAACAAGAAATAAGTGTTTGGAAATATTTTTCGTAATTCATTTTTGTTCGTATGGGTAACCTCTAAACGTAATCTGCGATCTGAGTAAGATCACGTCAAGTGGACCCCCGATTTACCACTTGACCATAAAAAATTAATCTATATAAAGTTCTTATGATGGAAAATCGATACCTCAAACGATTTTTTAAAATTTTGATTTTAACAAAAAAAAATTATAATGAAAATTTTAAGCACTTTTATTAAAAAATGTATTAAAAATCAACCGTAAGAGATCAATTTATGAAATTTGCAGCATCCATGGTCAAATGGTTATACTTTAAGAATATTTACTTAAAATTATTTCTTTACTTTTGTATTGTTAACTAACTTTTAAGTTAACAAATGAAAATTTAACTGATTTATTGGTAAAAAAATAATGTTTTTTTATCGGTCACATGATTTACACATTTAAGTTTAAGATTTCGGAAGAAAATTTCACTGCTCGTCATTAGTTTAAAAAAAAATGCATTTATTTATGACGAACTGCATTGACGATTTTATCAGTGATAATTTAAAATAATAATACAAAATATTATTATTAAACAAATTTTATTATTATTTATGTTGTTTTATTATAGTTATTATATTTTTATTTTTTTTAACAATATTAACCATCGTAACATACTGAATAGAAGAAACAAGCTTAATTAATTAAATTGTAAATTTGTCGTCAGTTATTTTTATTATTTTTTTAAAGCTAATTTCTTTGAAAAAATAGTGAAATTTTCGAGTATTTTTTATTATAGTTAAGCGTTCGAAAAAAATTAAAGTGGGGTTGTTATGTGGTTGTTTTTATCACGATGGAGACTAGCACGATAAGCTTGTCTTTTTACACTGCCTGCTAAGCCATCACACGCTCCTTTGCCATGAGATATAGCGAAAAAAGTCATAATGTAATAAATCACTCGGCCCATTTTAAATCACAGAAAATATTATTACAATTAAAAATTATAATACTAAAATATTAACTAAAAAAAAAACACTACTCAATAACACTTCAGCTTTTATTTTTAATAATTATTTCATGCTTTGCGTATAAACTTATGTCACGAATAGACTTAACAAAAATGGCAATACAACTCCAAAATATTTTTTATTTTACTATTTTGGATTTACTTGAAAATGGGATACCAACTTATGTACCGCTTTGGGTAACTTTTGAACTCATACATAAGATCTTTCTTCTGACTTCTAAAATGATTTTGTTATTTACTAAAGATGGAGTGTTGACTAGTAAATTTAAAAATAATAATTTACTAAGTTACCTAGAAAAAATAAATATGCACCATAACAGTTTTAAAAATTTAAAGTTGATTATTTTTTTCTAAATTTACGTTATTTGGTAAAAACAAAAAAAAAATTATAGTATTCTTTATAACATTGTTAAAAAAAATAAAATTTTGTTAATGATAATTTTAATCAAATAACATAAATAATAATAAAATTTGTTTTATAATAATATTTTGTATTATTGTTTTAAATTATCACTGATAAAACCTTCAATGCAGTTCGAGACGCTCCGTAGCGCGGCGCTTCCATAGGGCTCGGCGCCCGGCGCGCTGTCATAAATACATTTATTTTGTTTAAACTAATGACGAGCACTGATATCTTCTTCCGGAATCTTATACTTAAATGGATGAAGCATGTGACCGAGAAAAAAATATTATTTTTTTTTACCAAGAAATCAGTTAAATCTTCATTTGTTAACTTAAATGTTAGTTAATAATACAAAAATAAACAAATAATTTTAAGTAGGTAATATATTCTTAAAGTATAGACATTTGACCACGGATGCTGAACATTTCATAAATTTATCTCTTACGGTTGATTTTTAATCCATTTTTTAATTAAAAGGGCTTAAAATTTTCATTATAAAAAAGAAAGTTGTTAAAATCAAAATTTTAAAAATCATATTGGGGATCAATTTTCCATCATAAGTGCTTATAAAAAATATATGTAGATTGAATTTTTATGATTAAATGGTATATGGGGGGTCACTAGCTGACACTGCTGTCCCAAGCTCGTTTTGCCTGAAGATTTCCTCTTCTAATCTGTGCGAAAACTCATGACGTCTTCATAGCCTCGTTAAAAATAATCCAAAACATCGAACTTCAGCCAAACCATCATTTGTCTTACTCGCAACACCGCAATTAAAGTGAATTAATTAATGTACTAAGACAAATTTAAAAATTAACAGCCGGCACGAAACACAATTATTCACGGTATATCATTCGAATCTCACACTTAAAGGCTAAACCTCGCAAACATCGCAAGCGGGATGCTTATCGTTTTAGAATTGGATAAAATGCAATTGGGAAAGAAAATTTGTTAATTGTACATTGTTCTAAATTCCGCCCACATTTTAAATGAAACTGACTTAGTTAGGATACCACGTGACCATCATCTCATTTAATGAAATGATTTTTTTTGTAATTCAACGGTCATCTAGGGTAGTTTATCGGCGCAGTCGTAGTAGGATTTTTTCGTATAATCGACACATGCCTTTATATTTTGGTTATTCTGTAGGTGGCAATTCGTGTTTTCATTTTTCATTTTTTTTACGTATCCCAAGAATTTTTATATTATAAGTGTCCACTAGCAAAATTAAACAATTATTGTTGTTGACTAGCTTCGTAGATGGATTTATTGTGAATGAACGAATAAATGGTATATCAGGGATCCCTTCCAGGAAGCCTGAACCGAATCTACTGTATTGGTTAAGATGATATACTGTATATATAATGTTTATTTTAAGCAAGGCAGCACTATACTTTTGTATAACAGTCCATAAAAGGGTAGAAAAAGGTATGAAATATTTCTACGACAATGGCCTTTGTCGTTTTACATTTATAAAAACAAACGCAAGCGTAACTGGGACATTTTTTTCAATGACTTTACCATACCTGGTGGCATTTTCGAGATTCCTGTGAAATTTTATTTAGTCATTATGCGAAGCAACAGGTGTAATTACTTTGTCTGCTTTCGGAACGCTCCGCATGCGGTTCGGTATTTATATTTATCGAACGTTGGGAGACATCGTTATTTATTAGACATCTTGTGGTTGTGGGGTTACGATTTTTAGATACCAAACAACTGAAAAGCGAGCGAGGTCTAACAAAATAAAAAATTCATAGAAAACCCACCACACTTTAAACCAAATCGAAACAATAATACGAGTATTACTATGAAAAACAAAATAAAAGGAATTAAAAAATGGAATTTCCGAATGAACATTGTATTTATGGAAATTTAATCATGTAGTTTTCAACAGCTGCAGCTTTGCTTTTATGACTTATACTAAGCAGTATGAACGAAAAAAAAAACAAAGAAAAATAATTAATACTGCAAAAATGAATGAAGGAACCGTCAAAATTATTTAACAGTTCTTGCTGTCTAGATCTACTATTGCAAAATTCGTGACTATGTTCTTCAATTTTACAGGATGTTTCAGATTTAACATTCTGTAACATTTTCTTTATTTAAAAATCCAATAAAACACTATAAATCTCCGTTATAAGTTATCTTTGAAAGCCTATTTAAATCGGCACCAATGTACTATTTGAAATAAATAAGTTGGTAATGGTTGGTTTTATTGTTTCATTTTTCTTTAAGCATTTTCTGCAATTTTGTGCATACCTGCTGCAATTAAGGCAGTATTATTATTATTATTATTATTATTATTATAACATTCTACAATTATTAGAGTTATTTAGTTTTTTTTTCAGGACTTTAGAATACTGTAATATTTTCTTTTAAATGCGATATAAATCCGTTTAAATATCGGCCCAATCCATTTGAAGCAAATACGTTGGTAGTGGTTACTTACTGCAATTATTTTATCATCAACATCGTTTTAAGGATTACCCTTTTTTTCAGGATTTTAGGCCGCAATGTCTCCACTATTTATAGTGGGGATAACACTTTTCACCACCTCCTTCGCTGCCGTTGATCACGTGCCCCAGACGAAAGGGAATTCGCCCAGCAATCCGCACGAAATCAACGATGCCTTCGAAACAAAGAATCCTCAAGACTTTTGGTGGATGCGCGACGACAGCCCGCTGAAAGCGTCGTACGACTATTATAAGAAATGTGCCTCGTCTGGTTAGTATAATCGAAATAGATAACTAAAAAATAAACAAATAAAATAGCATTGCGTGGAACCCAAATAGCACAAGGACGTCAGTAAAACGTCTTCGGGATATCTGGCGGGACATAGCGTATATCCTAGGGATAAACTGGCTCATCTAAGGGATATCCTTAAGACGTCTCAAGGATATACGATGTTAATAATTTTAAAGTCCACAGAATATCAGATACATATGTCCGTGGAATGTTTGTTAAAACACACTAAGATATACTAGTTGAGACGTCGTTAGTATATTCGACCTTACTTAATTATTAGGGTATTTCCAACAGCCTATGAGAAATACTGGAAAGGTAATGTCCAGTAGTCCAATTGGTTGTGCGACAATAAATATTCTATCCTAGTATTTAGTACTCGCGTGTGATGGAATTAACCCATTGGGTATGGTTGGTGAAGTCATCACTGGAATGGCACGTGATATTTGAAATGCACGAGTTTTTTCCAATTAATCTTTAATTTTGCTTTTGATGGTAAAAATGAAGGATAGCCGATAGATACAGTTAATAAAACACATTTTTTTTCTATTGTAGATATGAAAAAATTTTAGGTTCATAATATAGCATAAATATAGAACAACCTAAACTAAAGTATCTTAAATATAGAGTAACTAAACTCTAAAAGAATAAATTTGACAGGTTTTCTGTCATTCTTTGGTGAAAGAAAGATTTCTCATATTCTTTTCATGCTTGTGATGTGTTTGCCTTCTTATCCGCATACGAAAATATTTTAGTTTTGAGAAAGACAGGTTTTATATATCTGAAAAAAAAAATAAAAAGAACGGGACTCCTATCTTATATATTTAAAAAACAGATTTAACAAATCCTTACATCCGCCTGTTAAGTAAAGGCTTGATTTGACGCTGATAGTACTCTCATGAAAGTGATCTTAGATGCTAATCTCCACGATGATGTAAGTATACATTTCTGTATTTCTTTTGATTAAATACAAACCTTATTAAACTCTTATTGGTAAGATCTCTTTCATATTCATGCAATTTTTTTTATCAACCTAAAAATTTTCCTAGTTTTTTTTGCTCATGATTGTATCTATTATCACTATGAAAACAAGCCCTAAAAAATAGAAAAAAGGTTTTCATGAATTGACCCAACAACCATTTTAATATGAAAATTGTTACCTTCTGCAGGGTGATTCCTAAAATTAATACATTGTTTTTGGGGGCTGGTTCTTGCATCCATTTTAAGAAAAAAATTCTAACTACGCTATATAACTAAAAATGTAATTTTGTTCTGAGGAACTTTCTCTAACATTGTTTACTCAAATAAAAAATTAGTTTAGTTTTGTACGCCTAAACTACTCAAAAAACATGAAGAGAAAGTGAATTTTATTTTTGTTATCAAAACCTAAGCAATAAGAAACCAAAAGAAGTCTAGAATCAAAGATATGTAATCTAAAACGTATATTATAGTTAAAATAGGTAAAAAAAGTCAGTTTTATCTTAAGTCGGTCCGGCAATCATTTAAAAAAAGTATGAACTAAGCAATCACCATAATATATATTTTATGAAATTATATTCCTTTACTTTATTTATATTCCATTTTCGTCCTATTATTTTTAAAAAACATAGTACCTACTTACCAAATATTAATTTGGCCAATTTTAATTTTGAAAATTTCTACTTTTTCTTCATGCCCAACCAAGTAAATTTCTTGGCAAGTTCATTTGAAATCAGCGGGGTCAAGGCTTGCTATCTCATTTACTTAGCAAAATAATAACAAACAAGGCATGATGTTGGTAGGCTACACAACAATAGTTCGTTCAGCTTAGAATTTATCAAATCTTATGTGATATATTACTATAAAGCTTTACTTGCATGAATTATTAGTTCTTCAGTAATAATAATACCACAAACAAATAACTCAATTGAAAGTACTGAAAGCAGTAAGCACAACACACAAAATACTCAAAATAGACGCCAAGTCGCCGTATTCCTTATACCGCCAACAAAAACAAGGCTCAAAAGATGGCGGACGACCAGACGGAGAAGACGACGGGACCTGAGCGAGTTCGGCGCGGCACGACCGCGAGTAGTTGCGTCATTGGTTGCACCCGAACAGTATTGTCAAATAATTTTTTAACTTAGATTAACTTAATATTTTTTGTGGTATTTTTATTAAAAAAGTATTTTTATAAAAAAAAAACACTGACGTCGATGTAGATGTGCACAAAGACGTAGCCAATGAAAGGTCCCCCAAAAACATCAGAAATGTAAAACAACTAAGTATTTTCCATCTCAGTTGTTCAAAATTTATCTTTTTAGCTTTCATTTTGTTTTACGGTTTTTATTTTTTTCCCTGTATTTCTATTCTAATGTTCCCATTATTAGAAGATATCTGTGGTATATCGTGTCCAGCAAATCCGCAAGCTATCTATTCCGAGGATATTCCTGGGATGTATTTTACGTATGTCTCGGGACATGCGAATTAACTGCGACATTGATCGGATATATTGGGATAGTGTGTGCTATTACAAGCTTGTTAATATGGTAAACCATGGTGAAAAAATCCTCAATTTATAAAAATATTATATAAATGATTTAAATTGACTAATCGCTCACGAATCATATACAAATATTTTAACATAGAATTGGCAACATTTAATTTTCTGTATAACAAAATGAGAAAAAGATACATTGAATTATTTCAATGCAAAAACCTACAGAGTTAGGTAGTGTACATATAAGAAAAATTTGAAAATTCTTTTAGATTTCTTTCAATCAGAATTCTAAACACACAGAAATTATGATTCAAATTATCTACGAGCGACATCGAAATAAACTTCAAATTAGTAATTGGCCTGTTAAAACGAAATTTGTAACTTGTTTTTGTGGTGGCATTCGGCGCTTTCGTACTTTTTTTACTTGTCATTTGGGACAAGAAACGGTTTTTGGTTTTTAATTCCTTCAAAAACGAAAAAGTCACGGACTGACATTTATTAAAAACAGCACCCATATCGGGTATAATCTTTTCCACTTATTTCTAAAATGTGGTGCAAAACGACGTCGCTCAACCTCGCCCTTTTTTTGTCGCAGGTCAGTGCAACCCGTCGAAGAAAACTCGTCCTTCAAAATCGAAGGAAAACCCGTCGGCTGGATCGGAATCCATAGACGTGGCCAAAAACGTTTTCTTGAATGGACAGTTTAATCAAAACGGCGGCTACTCTTCTGCTTCGTTTACTTCTGCGTCTGCGTCGGATGGATGCGATGGTGATTGCGTTCAAGGCACGAAAATTGCCGGTTTTCACAACGGGGCTAGCATCGACTTGAGCAAAAATCCCTTCTTGCGGGGACAGTACGTCGCGGCTGGTAAGACTTCATTCTTATTTTGATCAAACAAAAAGGTTTTGTTTTGTTTTTTTTTCTTTTTTAATAAGAATCGTTTATTATTTATCTTTTTGTTAGGATGTTATATTAGCATTCTAATAATTTTTCTGAAGGACGCTAGTTTGTAACTACAAATTAGATATTTTGTTTCAGTTAGTTATTTTATTTTTCACAGAAAAAGTTCTCGATGCAGTGGCGACGTAATTAACCAAAATATTATTAGTTCATAGGTGGTCAGTAGCACGCCACTGATTTCCTTAAAAAATCATGCAGAGAAAAGGTTTTTATTTTTTTAAAAGGAAACAGAAAAAAATGAAGAAATTAAATTTCTTTAGGCATAATTGGGGATTGTAAGTACATTTTTTCTAACAAGAGAAATCAGTGACCGATGATCGATTTCTGCCAAAATACACATGGAAAAATCCACCGCTGGTGTATTTTTTTAAAAACGTGGTACACTAAATAATGCCTTTTTGATACATTGTAATGGGTGTCAATTTTTTTTTATATTATATTATGAAATTATTTTTGAGGTTCTGTAACGACCACCAGAGGGCGTAATTGCCATGTTCAATTTCATAATAAATGTGGTATCAGTGAGAGTGAGTGAGACATAATAGCAAAAAAATGATCGAAGCATGTAATTTTTCTTACGTAATTAGATAGTCAAATCAGCGACCAACAAACGCGGCGAAAAGAGCATCCCATTGTCTTCGTCCTTAAAATAAAAGCACTTAAGACTCAGAGAAGTTGATTTTTTTTCTGAGCAACTTCACCATACGGGTTGATATTGAAATAAAAACAATCAGGTTTAGTCATTCAACAATCTCGTTGCAGACTAATTAAATTTATTAAATATAAAAAAATTGAAGTATCTCGAGAGTTTTGTTTCATACGACATGTTAGTGTAGTGTCTTCCTAGCGATATCAAAACGCATGGGTGGCTGTAGAGACATTCTAACATAGCTCTATGTCTTGGTCACTGAGCAAACAGGTCGTTACTAGTAAGAAAGCCCGTGTGTAGTGCGAAACCGATAGCTGTATTGAGTCATTGCGAAACTTGACCTGAAGTTGAAACAAAAACATGTTTTAACCGGTTGGTATGTTTTTTGACAGCCAACGGCGACTTAGTCCTAAACGAAAACAACTTTATGGGCGTGCAGCCATCAGTACCTTTTAAAGGCTTGAAGAAACGTCTCCCGACCTCCACCACTTACCAAGTACACCATGTTTCAGGGCAAGATGGCGAAGTGTCCGGAGTTTCGGCTAGCCATTGTGAAGGGAATGGTAGAGTATGCGCGCCCATAGGCAAGTGCCTCGACGGAGTGATCGACGACGCGGATGTTTCGGAACTTCATAAAAAGGTTAGTTTTAAACGATCTGTTGCTAAAATTTTAAGATTTCCTTTATCAAGAAATACAATTTTAATGACGGACAACGGAATAACAAACGATTCCTTTCGAAGGAAGTTTTAAATAAATTTAATTACTTTTTTATGTTTATTAATTGTTTTTAAAAAGTGGAAAATTGTCAGGTAGCCTTAACAAGACCAATGCTCCTAAAGCAAAGGTTACAATAATGTAAATATTAACCAGAGTGTGAGAGAGAGAAAGTGAGAGTGAGAAAGAGTGAGAGTGAGAAAGAGTGAGAGTGAGAACGAGTGAGACTGAGAAAGAGTGAGAGTGAGAATGAGTGAGAGTGAGAAAGAGCGTGTGTGTGTGAGAGAGAGAGAGAGAGAGTGTGTGTGTGTGTGTGTGTGTGAGAGAGAGAGAGAGAGAGAGAGAGAGAGAGAGAGAGAGAGAGAGAGAGAGAGAGAGAGAGAGAGGGAGGGAGTATGTGAGACAGAAAGATAATGGCCCAAGTGCATTTACTTTCAAGCTATTAACTTTACAATGTATATAAAAATAATTGAAATATGTTTGAGAACTTAATATAAAATATTCATCAAACAATACATCCTAGCGATATCAAAAATAAAAAAAATGTTTTCGTACCACACAAATAGTACATGATTCAAATCACCCAGAACAATATTTTTTTGCGTCATATTATGGGCTTGGACTGGATGGAATAAGAGTCGTATCGTATCTTTGGATCTTAATATATACGTAAGAGATCTGTGTGTGATGGATACTTGCCTACCGATTTCAGCCTTTCTTTTTGCTAAACTAAGTATGCTGGTTTTTGTTTCTCACAAAATTCTTATGGTAAGTCGTGCCTTGTTGCTCCACCAGTTGGGACTGATCCGGATCACTTCGGGAATGCCTCAGAACCCTCGCCTGGGGCCACTGTTCTTCTTAATGTATATTAACGATATTAATGAAACTGAACTCTTACCTGATACGTGCGTTAAGTTTAGCCGTTAAGTGCACCGTCATCATATAAATAAGAAAAATTTTGAAATCGCTTAAAAATAAATAGCGAAAGGCGAGTTCTTAAAATACCTATTATTAGTTCTTAATAAGCGCACATCTAAACACTTCGAGTACACAATTAATGGCGTAGTCGAGCGTACTGAAATAGTGGTGAAGGTAATCGGCAGTGGCGTAGCGCAAAATAATTTAACGATAAAATAAAAATTAAACAGGCTACAAGGCAGGCGACATCGTTTATTTTGCAGATTTTTCCGTCGTAATGTCAGACCGGGTCTTTATTTTGCAAAAATGTAATTCGAAAAAATGCCTGTTTTGTACAAAACAGTCAAAAAATATCCCATTTAACTGTAAAAGTTTAAGGTTGCTCGCATATCACTTTGACAGTTTAGTAACAAAATTTCTCGGAAACCCTGTATAATAAAAATAAAGAAAGCAATAGCGCGCTAACAAATAAAAGTGTTTTCGTACATCTTCGCGTTACGTAACCGGCGAAATCGCCTCCGGCCAGCAATATCGCGATAATGTCAAGCCATTGTATTTTCTCTGCGTAAGACTTACCTTCACTAGCAGAATTTAATTTACTTATTTCATTCAGGTGTGGTGAAAATATATATTATATATGAATGTATATAGTGTATCTTCAATGATATTACAAATAAGAAAAAGATTTTTACAAAAGAGAAAAAGAAAGAAGAAGGAGTTATTGATTATAATAAGTATCTACTCTCATTAGATTGTGCAATTCTCTGTCCAATTTGTTTTTGAAAGAATTAGTACTTGTTGCAGACACTGCGTCTTCCAATAGCAGTTTGGCAGTATTTTAGTAATAGTAATAATAAACGGCTTTTTTTATTAGTCAAATGAAAAAAAAAAAAACAAATACATATACACAATATAGCACAAACAGTTCCTACTGAATCAGGGCGCAGTCTAGTCGAACGGGCTACTCTACTGAATCCCAAATCGTCGGATTAATGCACGTTGTTTTTTAAAAATTTTATGAGAAAATTACAATATAATGTTGTCAGATAGAGGTATAACGTAACTTAAGATTAATAAAAAAAAACAACTATACACATTGACAGAAACTATTCTTTCAAGAGAATCTGTATAGGAGAAAAAGAAAATTACATATAAAACAAAAAAAAAGCATATTTATGGACACTGGCATTACACACTAAACAGGTAACTCTTATATCGTTTTTTAAATATTTTTCCTTTTGGTAAAGAGTTATAAAATTTAATACCGTTATAAGTAAATGATCTCTGGAAGATGGCAAATCTGATATTCCGTGCGTGTATCGTCTCCCGAAAAACGAACCTATTACTTAAAGGTTTCACAGGGTTCGTCGCAGAATTACCCAAAATGAAGTGCTCTGCGATTCTCCATTTTCAACCAATTAACCTCTTTAAATGTGTGCAGATATGGTCCTATTTTCTTAGCCCTAAAATAAGGCGTGAACGTGTATTTTGACTTTTTCAATTCTAGATTTGTCTGCTACGTCAAGACAAGGGCCATAAATATAATAACAGTAGTTGAAACTAGAAAGCACAAGATATTCACAGAGCATTCTACGTAAAGGAGAACTAAGTATATGTCTACTGTTGTATAACATTCTTAATGAAAGATATTTTTGTATCATAATTTTAATATATTCCCTAAAGCGCAACTGCGTATCCAATATAATACCTAAATTTTTCGCAGAGTGGTTAAAGTGAAAATAAATCTTCGTATCATCGGCATAGGTCTGGACTTTACAGTGCCGCAAGGTCCTCAAAATATCAGCTGTGTAAATAATAAAAAACAGAGGCCCGAGGATAGAGCCCTGCGGAACGAATGACAAAATCTGAACTCGCTCTCAAACTGTGCCGCTGCACACAATTTTTTGAAATCTGTTAGAAAAGTAGGATGTTACCAGATCAATCGACTGTTGTGAAAATCCATAATATTCAAGTTTTGCTAATAGAAGTGCATGATTAACGGTATCAAAAGCCTTTGAAAAATCCAAGAGTATGAGTGCAGTATGCATTCTTTTATTAATAGCGGAAATTATATCGTCTGTTAAATCAACCAAAGCAACCGAAGTACTGAAATGTTGCCTAATCCCACATTGACACTCGGGTATGACATTGTGCAAGTGCAATCTTAATATCAATATTATTTTCATAAAATATTTCATCCCACAGAGTTAAAAGAGATCTTGTAAGAATAAATTAATATTAAAATTAGCATAGTCCCTATGAGTAATAACTTTTGGCTGTAAATGAGATTTTTCTATTTTTAAACAATAGTAAACTAGACAGCGATCAGAAACTTCAAACACTGATATAACTTCGGTACTAGCAATCATCGATTCTTTAGTCAAGAAAATAGGATCCAAACAAATTATTTCATCTGTAGCCGGATAAATGCTGGAAAAAATATTATGAAGGTCGCGTGCTATAGCATTAAAATTTGTATTTGGGGGGAGATAAAATACGCAGAATGCATAGTGCTTATTCTTCAACTTTGTTTTAAAAATTAAAAATTGAAGATAATTTGTTATATTGAAATTAAGTGTAATCAATTCCGTTAGTAAATTATTCTTAACATATCCAAAAACATCAACATCGTCACCAGCAGAAAGTCGCGCCCCATTGGTTAATTTTTTGGAGTGACCTCGAAGATGGATATTCGGGTCATGTTGAAAGATGTTCCGTTCACATGAGTAATAGTTTTGATCGCCACGTAATCCTTTTTCTTTCATAGTTGTTAAATTCAGCTTTACAAGTCTTTTCTCATCTTTCTCTTTAATAAAGTAGGGATTCCATATTGTCCTACCATATTCTAATTTTGGACGAATGAAAGACATAAAGGCAAGGCCTTGTTCCTATAAAACACCAAAGAATTAACCTATTTAACTACTTTTGAAATATGTGTCTCCCATTTCAAGTTTTAAGTTATCATAATTCAATCTTTCAAGTCAAGTCTTTCTGTTCTTTTACATGCCTATTTGACAAGCCGCCATTTACTCGCAGTTGATAGTAACGATCTTTTAGAAATGAAGCAATAAGACGTAGTAGATTTCCTTTAATCCCGTAGTGTATAAGCAAAAGGAGATTTTGCGGAACTTTGTCAAAAACCTTTTAGAAATCTAACTAAATTACTTGTTGATTTTTATCTTAGATTTTTGTCCAGTCATCTAAGCATTTTGTTAAGTTCTTGATAGTTCCTACATATTGAGATTGAATTAAGTACATTTAAAGAAAACAAACGACAGAAAAACAAATTTTTTATGGGGTTATTTCGGTTGGGCGATGTTCAACAGTTTTGAATTTAATTTATCAATAAACAGTTTTGAGGTAATTTAGTGTAACATACTAACAGAAAACAACTAAAAGTAGATTGTTTTCCAAATAGAACCTGATTTGATACAAAAAAACGCATAATATTTTATGGTGCGTGGGCGCACCACTGGTAACACCCGGTTTCATTTTTGGTCATATTTTACAAAGCATGAAGGATGTAAATGCATTAACTTATTACACTTCTACATCTCCTTCGGGCTTTATTAACATGAACAATCAAGCGGTGACCTTGGTTATCTTGACGCACTTTATCTATGGCAGGTGTAAGATTTTTTTGAGTAATTGCTTCATCAGTTTTTTAAAGTCGCAAAACAATGTAAGATTTAAAATTAAATCAATCAGTTCGTCATCAGAAAACAAAAAATATTTCAAGCGGAGTTTTTCCAGAAAGCCTATTTTTTAGTTCCTCACATGATCTAAATTCATCGGATATAGGTCTGCGACTGCACTCTATCTGTCGCATGTCGTTTGCAGAAAGCATATGTCTTCTTTTGAATTCCAGGATTTGATCATCTGATGAGTCCCATTCAGCTGCATCATTCGGTGTATGTATCTCGAAGGTTCCAACTATATCAGTTGATTAGTTTATATAGACCGCATCAATATGTTCTGTAAATTTTTTTTCACGTTATTTTTAGTAC